TTTTTGATATATATTCTTTTTATCGTTATCAACATATTTTATAATTTAGTTTCTAGTCATAGCTTATTTTCTTATTTGACTAAAATATTAATGATAAAAATTAGTGTTACTGCATTCACAGTAATGAATTACTTGATCAATATTAGCGAGTAGTGATTAATGCAGATTTGAAATGTTACTATTATTATTACCAGTATTACAATGTTTAGTAAATTCATTATTATTATGATCAATTATCATTATTATTATTATTATTATTACTATTATTATTATCATTATTATTATCATCATTAGTGGTTTTATTTACCAAATCTATTCTTTCATTAGGAGATGCAAGTTTTGGACCGTATCGCCGAACTTTCCCAGAAAATGTATGATGTGGAGCACCGAGACAATTCACGCAATTTCCCTGCTAAAACTTGTAGAGATCTTCAGCTATGTCACTCTGGTATCAGGCTCAAAGATGGTAAGAAATGATTCCATGTCGCTCTCAAGATCTGTTGCCTGATAGATTTTACTCCATTTAAATTTAAAAAAAAAAAAAACATTTTGGTTTGGTATGCTCCAAGGATTCATGACGCTGTTCACAAAATTCATCGCTTAGATAAAAGTTTGGCCAAAATGAAAATGGTTCAGAACCTGATTTACCCAACGTTATCAGATTTCTGTGTTATAAGCAGACTTCAACTCTTTTGTTGTTTCTAGTGCATGACGGTTATAGTTGTACATATATGTATTTTCTTCTCGTTTGATACAGGCGAATATGACATCGACCCTAATGGCGGTTCACCAAATGACCAGATCACTGTATACTGTAATTTCACCAACCAAGCCACTTGCATCAGGCCTAAAATGAAAAAGGTTTGTGACAAAATTCTGCATGAGACTCGTCTAAAAGAGGTTCAAATGTAGGGATTGATTCAAGTTTTAGCTGTATCCGATTGGTCTAGGTTTCAGCTGTAACTAATTAGTTTAACTTTTTGCTTTATCTGATTGGTTTGAGTTTTAGTTGTACCTGATAAGTTTGTGTGTTAGCTTTACCTGGTTATTTTGTGTTTTAGCTCTAATTCATTACTTCAACTTTTAGCTCTATCTGATTGGTTCACGTTTTAACTGTATCTGATTAGTTTGTGTTTTAGCTGTACCTGATTGGTTCAAATTTTAGCTGAACTAATGGTTCAAGCTATATTTGATTGGTTCGAGTTTTAGCTGTACCTGATTGGTTCAATGGGCTTGTAGCGGCAATCTTTTTATGTATATGTTGTATGTTAGATTCCCAAGAGTACCTGGAAGACCCAAGTAGATCCTAGGATGAAAGTCGCATGGTTTTCTGAGGACTTAAACAATGAGAGCAAGGTAAGTTAACATTTTGGGCTAAGTAAGTAATTGGATGAGAATGTCACAGAAGAATTCAATTATCAACTTTGTCAGTATAGCGAATTGCTATAACTATCTCAACTTTCGGAAGCTAGAACAGCCTTCTCCAGTATCAGTAATATATCTTGGCAAACGACTGTATTCTGTACTTTTGTACTAGAGTTCTCTCTCTCTCTCTCTCTCTCTGTCGACACTTTTCACTCCTGAGAGTGGCTAGCATCTCACTTCTCCTCGCAATACGAATCACACATCAAGGTCATAAGAATACAGGAAATGATCACCAACTAAGAAACTCTTAATTATTTAACAAATTCTCCTCGTCTGCACACTAGGAAATGTATAGAGGACATTATGGAGAAATTGCTAACTGATGTTCAGGTGTAACGGGTTAAAAACGAGATTTTTTTTCCACCAATATTCGATTTCCAACCTTTATCTTCATTTCCACCGGTATTCATGGTTGTTTGTTGTCTTTTTTTTTACCACCAGATTGAATACGATATTGACGACATCCAACTGTACCATCTACAACTGCGTAGTAACCACGCCCAACAGGAGTTCACTTTTAAATGTAAAAACTCGGTGGCCTGGTACGACCAGAGTGCCCGCACTTTTAAGAAAGCGGTCAAGTTTGAAGGTGTGAACGGCCACGAGTTTAGCTCCAAATCCAAATCAAAGAAAGCCATGATCAAGGTTCCCAATGACGGTTGCAAGGTAATTCATTCTCCAACTGGACTTTCGTTCATTTGGCTGTAGCTTTTATAGCAGGTCATGAAAAAGCTCTTAATGAAAGAATTTCGAAGAAGCTTTCATTTGACAAGTGATACGCGCAGATGTTTTTCACTGACAAATGAATAAAGGGGTAAATTTCTAAAGAAACTCTTGTGCCTCTTCGGTAGGAGTAACAAGGTATTTTTGGTTTTATCAACTGAGTTGATTACGTAAATTTGCCACCGTAAAGAGTTTCAAAGCTGAAACTGTGAAAATCTTTAATGGGGCCAATTTACTTTATCAATTCAACTGTTGAAACCGAAATTCCCTTGTCATTCACTGACACACAACCTTCTTGCACAGCATAATATGAAAGGAATATCAAAGGGGAAAAAACTGGTCGATAACTTCCACTTGGATGGTCACATGATGCAGTGTAATTCACAGCTGAGAAGAGAGAACCGCCCTTTTCTGCACAATGAACAATATCACTTGAAAGTAATGCTCACTAGCTTTTACCGAAAGGTCACGAAACAAGGCAAGGCTCTCGCCCAGAGACAAAAACGGTAGAAATGCCGAGTATGTTCACGCACTGATTCTTTTCTAACAAGCGTGAAATTTTACCTTTATAACTTTATAACATACCCTTAATAATTGTGGAGTCTCTATTACAGAGGGTGGTTTTCAGCAAAGCGTTTTTCTTGTGCGAAGAGGGGAAGACGCCTAGCATCGCTGATTCTCCTCTTTTTGCTGGTCACAATGAAGCCGTGCAGTTCAGTGATTTACAGAGTTAGAAATTTTACATTGGTCTCCCGCCTGCCGCCATCGCCGTTGCCGTCCCCCATCCCACTCACCCTCCCCCCCATCCCACTCACCCACCCTCCCCCCTCACCAACCTCCTCACTTATGTACCAAAGTTCGACAGTTGTAAGAAAGTTATTATTTCATTTTCCCTTTCATCCATCATTTCCTTCTCATCCATGACGTTTATCTTTTTTTTTTTTTTTTTTCAGGTGAAGGATGGATCTCAACGCAGCACGCAATTTGTTGTTACAACCACACAAGCCTCCCGGTTGCCTATTGTTGACTTTGCAGCGTACGATTTAGCGGGAGAACTAGAAGTTGAAATCGGTGAAGTGTGTTTCTGGTGAACTATGTATAATAACTAGGAATCGTCCCCGCTATATTATAAAATAAAAACTGGACCTCAGGTTGACGACTGTGGATGGCGATTGACTGTTTTTTTTTTTATTTTTTTTTATTTTGCGATATTAGCTTCGTTTTGCGAAGGAAAGATTCTTTATGAATAAATGTTATAGCGCGTTCAAGAGAGAACTTGTGAATTGTTATGTTGTGTCATCTGCTGTAATAAATAAAAGATTAATGAGGCGGGAAATTGTTAGAAGAAACGTTTTTAAATATTTCAGATCCTAGGTTGATTATAATACCAAAAGTAGTTGATTTGTTGTAAGCCCCATTTTCTAACAACTGGTTAGATTGTAAACACAAGTAAATATGCTACCAAAGAAACACGGTTTCTCAATGAAAGATCCTATCATCGTGTTAAATTATAGCCTACACAATCAACAGCACCCGGCACAACTAGGAGTGTTTCTATATTTGAGTTCATTAGTTTTATCATAACTTGTATGAACGAGATAATTTTCGATACATTTGAACTTATCATTAAATTCTCTCAAGGAGGAATGACTCAGTATATTTTAGAAGGGCATAGAGAGAATGTTTGGAATGTGCATATTATTATGAGCACATTGCAATGGTCTCGATTAACCGGAAAAGCAGTGTTAATGTTATGTGCCAAGGAAATCGTCTAAAAAATATAACTGAAACTACATTGCGAATTGAATGCGAGTTGTACAACCTCAGTTTATGTAATTTCCAACCTGCTTTGGTATATTTTGGCGCAGATGTAACCAAGACGCAAAGGTATGCACGCGCTCTTTATCGCAGCTTTACATGACCTAGACCCCTGTATGGATTTGGTGGTTAATTGCAGTTAAATTGGTCAGCCAGCTCTGAGCACGCTTAGCATAAGCATTTGTCTCTGTCTGTGTTAAAAAAAGACTTCAATAAAATAAGTGATCTCGTTGGTCCAATGTCAGAGCAACATATACGTTCATTATTTTCAACATTCCCATGAAATCACCTAGCATACGATGCGATAAATCAAGCTACCATTTGGTATGAGCTGTAGGCCAGTCCCGTTAACTGTTCTTTGTTTGGTCAATATTTTGAATCATTACCTTTGCTTGCTCAACACACAAGAAAGATGAAGCGAATCCCATTTTCTGATTGGCAAAACAATGGACCAATCAAGTCCGCCTCACTGCCTGTTTCCCTTTCGTGTGAAGTGCCTGTGGCTGGTTAACATTCTGGGCAGCTTACAAATATTTCTAACAAGAAGAATGTTTTGCCGCAGTTCTGGAAAATCTAGCGCGCCCCTCGAGGCAATCAATTTAAGGAAAACTACGGCGATTTTGGAGAGCTTACAAAGAAATTTATCCTTTGTAGTAATCTTCTTGCCATTCAATGAATCTGGCTCTATTGCGTAAACTTCTTTATCCAAGATCAATGGAAAGTTTAATTTTTTTTTTTCGCTTTTTTCTTGACCTCGAGCCGTAATAACTCATGAACGAGAATCAAAGCTATTGCACAGTTATTTTGAAGTCACGCTTGGGCAATAACACATTTATCACATAGCTTCTTGTCAAGACGACATCTGAAATATTTAGGTGTTCATTTTAAATGTTACGACTAGTTTGCGGATTGCTGGAAAATTAAGTTTGTCAATAGGGAACTTCACGCTAAATAAGGATGAAGTTAATCCGTAAAGAGATGGGAATGGTAGAACTTTCTTATGGAGACGATCGACACTAGGTGCAAAAGAAAAATTTGAAATATTTCCATTAAATTTATTTGGAAGCATATACATTGACCTGCACCTGCTTAGCGTCCTGTGACAAAAGATAGAAAAAAACTGTGCACAATGCAAAATAAGAAACATTCTTTTCTCAACTAATTTTGTCACATTCAAGTTTAGAACACAGTTCAAGAAATGCTTCGGGTAAAAATTTCTCGGTGGCACAGGAAAATTCAGTGAACTATATTCGCCGTCACAGGTAATTGAGATTATTACCTAACTCATCCATCAACTCACTTCATAATTTCGTTTAGTGCAGGATATGATAATACATAATATGTTGAAAGTATATCGACTCAGGGAAGGAATCAAAAAATAGCTGTATGCCCCGCTGGGCAACCCCACTGTACGTTGTCGGGATGGAAACTGCTTGTCTTGCTTAGTATTGATCCTAAGAGCGATCTTACAAACAGTGTATTGATTGTTGATAGCGAGTATTTAGCTATAATAAAGTCCGCCTGCAGCAATTACTGAAGCTCTAGTAGGTACACTTGAAACAAGTATGTCCGCCGTCGAGAGCAATCATGGATTGTACTCCGGGTAATATTAAGGACTTTAAGCAGTCAGGACAGCAACGTCACGGAAGACGTCGATTAAAAAATGAGTTTCTACTTTTAGTTAGAATTTCGAAAATGGCTTCATGTGTTTACCGTCTCATAGGGCGCCAGACCACAAACTCAACATAACGCATAAAAGTAGCGTTGAGTTCCAAATGTAAATTAAAATAATTTGCCGCCGCGGTTTCGCTTCGCAGACGACGCAAATTTTGGCGATTTCACGTTGTTGTTTTGCAAAGGGACGGCTAAGAAATGTACAAAGTTTTAAAACGCACGTGCTGGGCTATTGTTCTGCCAATTAGATCTCAGTATTGTTTTTCCACGTTCTCGTTGCGGTAGCCGTCGTGGTTTGCTTAAAGTCCCTATTCTCCACAATGATGCTGTTGCTACTTTGCAGAAACAAGTTAAAAGACACTTGGAGGATAAAAGGAAAGGTCACAGTATGGAAAGTCTTACATGAGAGCCATCCAAGTGCGGGCCTTATCCAATGAGGCTTTACTTGATTGATGGGACGCGAAAAGGAGAAAAAAAAAAACAAATCGAGCTCCGCTTTAAGTCCTTGTTAATTTCATATTTGATGCTTTTGTTATTTTACAGTAGCAATTGAAAAGCATGGATTTTCTTAGCAGTGTTGTTGACTGCTTGAGCGTTAAAGGATATGATAGCTAGCTAGACTACGGCACAATATCGAGATACAAAGATTTATGAGTGACGCAACAATTGAAGTTGCGCAATAAAAAACATTCTAATTTGTTCAAAGTGCCTTCATTTTCGGAGCTCATAGCAAATCGAAAATCTTTCAGCCGCAAACAACAACGGATAAAGCTGCATTCTTAAAATTTCAAAACGAGATCGGAGCGTACTTGTGTAAAAAGGGGGAAAAGTTTCGAACTGCAGCATTTCGTGAATTTTAAAAATTAACGGATGTGGGCGTGATCAACACATGCTTGACACCTGGTCTAAGTAGATGAACGGGAACAAATCATTCAAACAATTTCTCATTGTGCTGACAACATGTAAGGCTTTGAACGCAATGATCGATGTTATCTTTGTTTTTCTCCGTGTAGGATTTACAAAGACAGCTACATGATGAATTAACTGTGTTTTTAAGAATCTTGGTTTTGCTTGGATTAAGTTTAGACGCTGGTTTATTCCATGTTCTCATTTTTCATGTTTAGAGCACGTATTCAGTCTTTTTCACGAATCGTTGCCAAAATATTTAAATTTCTACGGAAGATAAGAAATCATCTCAGGAGAAAGAATCTCGCTGATTCAAAACGCAAGCAGATACATGTAGCTTCCTAGGACTATTACAGTATGAAAAGTATTTCTACGAGAATGTATTGAACGATTTGGCTCACCATCGTACTTCATGCATATGAAAGTGTTGACAGCAACACATCTTTATATCACGCCATCGTAGCAAATGACCTACATCGCAAGGATTTTAAGCTTGCACTCTTAGGGTAGTTTATTTTAAATCCTTGGTCGTACGCCAACCCATCAGTTTTAGCTGCACGATGGAAGTTTTGTGGTTGACCAAAATCCTTGCTAATCGATAACGTGAGATTTTCGAGACTATTCTGGCTTGGTGATAGCGATAACAGAAAAGTTTTGGCCAGACACCCTTTTTATTGCTCTATACCTTGATCTGTCTTCCAGGCCAAAATAACTTAAAGGGTTAATTGAATTGTTTTCTGTCAAGTACTTAAGAAAATTATTAGTTTGGGATCCCCGTGTGGAAGAACATTCCTTTAGTTTTTCCTTTGCACGAAAATCAAAGCTAATCGCTTTACTCAGTTATCAAATTTCTGGCGTCGTAAGTTTGCATTTCGTTGCTGATTTTCCCCCGCATGGAGTGTTTCCAGGTAATCATATATCAAACGATTTACTAATAGCCTCGTATTATAGATACAAACCAAAACAATTAAAATGATAAACGAATTACGATTTATTTTCAATGAATTTTCCTTTCAAAGGGACATCGAAATTCTGGAACAATCACTTCAGTTCGATCTCGATATTAGCCGAGGGAAGCGTTCAGCTTGCTGTATTGTCATCTCATCATTCTAAATGATCATTAATTACAGGGCCCTCCAAGACTGATCCAACGCTTTCAGAAAATATTTATTTAAACATTTAGGATAAAGATAACCTACTTGTATTTCCGTAGAATCTTATTACTCTAATACGAAACAGAACCTTGATAAGATGAAGTAAAGTGTTTTTTCTTGGACTGAGTCGCTCGATAAGCCCTGAAGAGCAGATTAGTTAACGAATCAATAGATTAATGACAGTACAAGCGTTTTTTCTCCTCCTCGTTAATTAGTCTTCCACGCCCCCCGTCTCTATTGTACACACGGCTATTGAAAAATTTCTCTCTGTTATTGGCCACGTCCTGACAGTGTTTCTGTCACACGTGTTAAATGTCATTTATGTGAACAGGCAGTCGGTTAATTAGTCGTTTACGATCTACTTAGACTGAGCGCTGTCAAAGCTGCGTGAATTGCATGGCAAGTACATCGTCATGAAAAGATACATGCTGCTCGCTGTGTTTCTCCTGGCGTTTGCAGAAGTAGCCGACAGCGTTGTGTACAGTTGGATTCTTAGCGTGAATCCTGTTGACACGGACGAACGGAAACAGACCAACAGCCCTGACAATAACACTAAGGGAAACTCAACTGTGCAAGGAGTAAGAGCGGAGATAATACGCCCACACTGCATTTGACATGATTTACTCACCAGTAAGCTAAATATGAAAACAGGGTAATTCTAACTACAATTGAAATTTTTCCAACAGCACTGCAGAAAAGACAGACAATGTGGCCCAGGAAATTATTGCCACAAGCACAACGGTTTATGCCACGCTTGCAAGCCAGTAGAATCTGCGTGTCGTCGAAATAACATGTGTTGCACCGGATTGGAGTGTGTATTTGGATTCTGCAGGAAAGCAGTTCCTCGGGGTACAGAAGGTGCAAGATGCAGGAAGGATCGCAAATGCGATTCGGGATTATGTTGCGTTAAAGTTCACGGGGAGCCAATTTGCAGGCGTTTGCTTCAAGAAGGTGAAGACTGCTACGTACCAGAAGGTGGTCTGGGTTACTCGCTAAACCAAAAGTGCCCATGTACGGCGGGTTTGATTTGCAAGAAACTGAAACATAGGCATCGCAAGAGGTAAGGGCATGCTACCGTAATGTGACCACACT